TTTTTTTTTTTTTTTTTTAATTGACATCCCATCGGTTGGTTGTTGCTTAGCGCCAGTTTTAATGGACATAGGATCTGATAATAAATTTACATATAATATTTAGAGACGTTTTCATCTTGTAGGTGAATGTAGTAGTGGATAGTTTAGAGATAGAAAAACTCAACTCTGTAAATCTGAAAGCCGTAACTTCTGCTGCTCTCCTCATTATGCCGTCAAATTTCAGTGAGGTATGATTATTTGTCAGTTTCACCATCTTTGAAATTGAAAAATTCATGTACTAATTAGTTTTATTGTATCTGCAGGAAGAGCTGTATGCCAAAATATGTAGCCTCTCATATATGGGTGACTTGAGAATGCTTTTTGCAGAGGATAAAAACAAGGTAGAAGTATGATTCAAAACTCTAGTGTGGAACTTGGGAAGGATAACTTAGCGTTAATTTGCATGTGTATTGCCTTAGGTGAAAAAGATTGTGCAAGGGCAATTTCACTTATTCCAAAGAATGTATACTCCACTTCTTGAAGAACTCGCGGCACGTGATTTCTTAAGAATATCATCTTCTGCTGATAAAAAACTAAACATAATTCAGGTTAGTTTGGATCTTTTCCAGTTACTAGAAGTATACTCATATTACTCGCAGATTAACTCACATTTCTACGAGAAAGTTGTTAATCTGCCATGAGCTATTTAATGTGCTCGACTTTGTGAATGCAGGACTGCGGGTTGTCTACCACTTGCTCCCTTGTGTCTCACCTTCCTTCAACCGTGAGAAGCAAGATGAGGATTAAGCTTGGTGAGGGAAAAACAATGGATGAATCTGGTATGACCTACAAACCGAGCAGTGATTATCTGATGGCAAATATTGTTATTGTATTTTAGTAGTATCCACGAATGGTACTGTATGATGTTTCTTTTAAACTTAATCTTCCTGGTGAGAGTGCTTTTTTCTGGTCCATAATATTTGTAAGTAACTCTTCTGAATAACTATCTCCTCTTGCAGGTCGTGCCGTACAGAAAGTTCTAATTAGGTCAAAGGAAGAGGCCGCATATTGCGTGCATAAGATTCTAAGGCAGAAAGTCATGGTTTCTAGTGCAAGACAGGCTGTTGCCGGTCTAGTAACTTCTGGAGCAGTTCACGGGCTTAAATACCTTGCTAGTAAAATGCACAAGGCATGGAATTCTCGGTTTGTGTGACTTTCAAGGTTGCAGAACAAATTTTTGGGTTCGCGCGGTTTAATCGGCTTTCTTAATGGTGAAGCGTGAACTGGAGAAATATTTCACCTCAGCAGTTTCACAAATACTCCAGCAATGGATATCAGTCGTATGATACATTCCTTGGTTTTAGGTAATCCTTTTCCTTTCCATTCGAGTACAAAACAAAAATCGTATCTCGACCTTGTAGCATTGTTACACTCAGTCATACGATTGTTACCTCACATTATTTATCACATTTTGTTTTGCATTTTTCTACCAGCAAAATAGATAATACATATCCATGGAATCTTTAGAAATTTTGATCAAGTGAAAGTGATGACAAAAGGTCTACAAGTACAAGGTATATGTCTCTGGGATAAGTTATTATATATATAGATAGAGATAAGATGATTAACGTTGATCGAAAATACTCGAGCCTTGGAGGTCTATTACAACAGCATCCATCACATTGGATAAATTGACAATGCGATTGAGGTTGAGGTGGATAAATTGTTGACAGCTAGACATATATCTAATACGGTCATGGTAAAGAACGTATTGGATAACCGAGCTTGTCCAAAATAATTTATTTAGTATAATGCATGTCATAAATATATTGATTCGTATGTAAATTTTATATGTTAATATATACATACGTATAATGTTTGTCATTTTATTTGCGTTTGTGCTGTACACAGGATCGACTACTAGTTAATATTAGACTAGTGAAGCTTATAGGGGTATCCAAAATCAAAGGCTACGTGTGTTTTGAGCCCCATTCTTTATGAGATTTGAGATAAGAACAATGCAAAGGAATTCATGGGACAACTACTTTTGTGGCCAAGATTGGATCGATCTTTAGATTTATATATATATATATATATATATATATATATATATATATATATATGATATTATTATTATTATTATTATTATTATATTATGTACTATGTGCTGCTTAAAAATTGAGATACTTACAAAATATCTTTAGCACATAAAACCTTAAACCCTGACAAAATTGAAAAACCCACACCCATGTCATCATGTGTCTCCAGGACCCCATTGAAATTAAATAAATCCTCCATTGACACTTTTAGTTAATGTCCATCAATTTTAAAAAAAAAAAAAAAATCTTGTTATATTATATTTTATTATTTCCTTCATTTTAATTTAAATTAAAAATTTAATTATTTTTACATATTAATCTAGAACATTTACTATTCATCCATTATCCTTGTATATTTACAAATCATCATTTTACTATTTTTTTTTTCATCACATTAATTTTTTTAAATGTTACACTTTACATCACATCATCTTACATTATTAAAGTTACTCATTCTTCCACTTATTCGACTTTTACCAACAACAACGAAAAGTTTCATCATGAAAAAAAGTCCAAAATTGCATTGTTCTACACTTCTTCATAAAATGTCGCATTATTTCCCTTTTGTGGTGATTACTGATTAATATAAGTGCTTCTCTTTTATTTTACTCCAAACCTTTGGTAAATGAAGCCTCACATTGATGAAACAAGGAGTTGCTATATTAACTATCAGAAATTTTATGGAATCGTCGGGAGTCATTCATATCTTTTATATTTTTATATATTGACGCATGTCCAATGTGTATTTATTGTAGGACACATGTCAATATACATTTGTGAATGACTATATACATCTTAGTATCTTGACCACTTAACAATCTCATTTATTTATTTATTTTTTTGGCCAAGATTATTAGATTTTGAAGGAATAACATAGTGTAAATTAGGAGTTGATTCAAAAATCCTATCAATTATGTTGTGTCATTCTGAATTTATTCCCTTTTCCCATAGTAAACATAATATCTCAATATAATTGCTAACTGTTAATTTATTTGGTGTTTATACATTTCAATTATATTTTTTTGGCAAACACAAATTTTTGTTATTGACAGACTGACTGTTGATCAAGTCGACCCGTCAAATTATTTTTTTAAGAAAAATATATTATTATACTATATAATATCATATTTCTATTTATATTTTAAAAGTATGACGTTTTTCAATATGAATTGTTGCGCAAATTATTCATCGACCAGGCTTGAACTGCAATCCACTGATATGAACCGCCTGGATGCTTTCGATGACCTGCAATATGTCGGTAGGGGTCCTGATGGAAAACACTCCGACGCTTAAGTCAGTTTACGTTCAACGATAATGTTGTTGAGAGAATAGATTCACGCGTGTATGTGTGTTGTGTGAAAATAATAACTTGTGTCTATTTTATAACCCGAGACGATCTAGACTCTTGAGAAAGCCGAAAGTCCCATGTATCCATATCTCCAAGAGTCCTTGATAAAATAGACTCGTATCAAAGTAGAACTCCTCATGCTCCCAGGAATCCTTAATAGGATGAACTTCTATTAAGACACACCTTGCGCCATTCGCTTTCACTAGCTTAAGGCCGGCCGAGTCCCAAATATACTTCCTGGGAGGTCGTCACACCACGTCCGAGCATCGTCTGGTTCATCAAAAGTGATGTCCTATCAACCATGACCGTCTCGTGCATCCTCGGGTCGAGTTCCCCAAGGACACCGACGAGCTGCTCTCTGCGAGGGCACGCTCTCGGCCTATCCACTCCATTCGGAGGCACCCTCAACTCTCAAGGATACCCAGTAAATCATCCTCTTGCGGAACTTAGAGGACCCTCATGTACAGTTGACGCGAACACCCCCAAGGACCACTTCCTTAGGATACCGATTGCCGAGCTATAGAGAAGAAGCATTCTGCCGAGCTAAGCGGCGTTCCATATCATGAACATTATTCATGAAATATGACTGCATGTGCTTGAGCCTTGTTGTTTTCTAAAAGCACAACATATAATTGGAAAGAATGGCAATAAGCCCTTCCCAGTGCCTAGTGGTAGGTTGAGAAAACTTGAAGTTACCATTTTTTTTAATCCTACTTAAGAATTTAGGAAATGCCTAATTGCTGAATGATTTCGTTGATGTGTTTTAAATATGAATTATCTACCTTACATTAATCAATATCCCCTATATATACGTGGTTCTGGTGCTTCCCAATCCTACTTAGCGAAGAATCATACTTCGTAATTAAGTTTGGACAAAAAATATTGATAATATTAATAATTAATAATCTAGGTTCGGACATTCCATAAATATTATTTAGCTAACTTAGGTATTTTAATATCACTTGTACTAATATAACCTTTTAATTTTTTGTAATTTTACATAGTGAGTCACTAAGTGACTAATATAATTCCCGAATGCGCTGAGCTGTTTCTGGTGCTTCGGAATCCTACTTAGTGAAGAATCATGCTTCGTAATTAGATTTGGACAAAAATTATTGATATACTAATAATTAATAATCTAGGTTCGAACATTTCATAAATATTATTTAGCTAACTTAGGTATTTTAATATCACTTGTACTAATATAACCCTTTAATTCTTTGTAATTTTACATAGTGAGTCACTAAGTGACTAATATATCCCTGACTTTTGATTTGCTTCCTACAATTAGCTATTAAATTGTAAATGTATTTTAAAATTTGATAACTTTTGTATTTCTTATCGATTTTACATATATAATATATCAAATTAATCATTTTTTACGATCTTCGAATTGACATCCATATTGTCTATATCAAATAAATAAATTATATTTATTTTTATAATAATAAAAACTAATAATATTTACTAAAATTCATTAGAAAAATAAAATTATTTCTCAATTGATATTTATGTTTAATGTAGTTATATGTTGTAAGTTAAAAAAATTATTATAATATAACGCATGTAAGTCGCACAAATAAAAAGTATCATACTAAATATATAATAATATATATTTTGATAAAAGGTATTTAAATTTTCAACTACTTTTTCTCATTAATTTTAGATTTTAAGAAAAAAAAATTAGCAAGCACCTGTGTGATACACGAGCGTTGTACTAGTATGTATTTAAAAGCTATAATAACTACAGAATCATTCTGTGACGGGATTGTTGTGATTCCCTAGAATTTAATCTCGCAAGTTACAAATGATAGAAAAGAGTCATTAATTACTAATTTACTAGATATAAAATCTATTATACCAAAAGATAAGAGAAATTGGGTTACACATGCAATAAAAAAATTAAAAGCAACTAGCACACAACCAAATGCATACAAGATTAAGCTAATAACTATTGCCTCAAACGAGTCGATCCGAGTCGAGAATTGGTTTTATCGAGCAGATTTTTTTTAGCTGCTCGAGCTCGAGCTCGATTTATGGGGCTCGAGTTCGACTCGCTAAAAAAAATACAAGAGTTCGAGCTCGGCTCGAGCTCGACTTGAATTCAGAATGCTCGAGCTCTGCTCGAGTTCGGTTCAAAAATTTTCAAGCAATTTTATAAAATAACCATTAAGTACAGATATATACAAAGGGTATTTTAATAATTATATATTTCGAGCCACTCGCGAGCGGCTCGTGAGCTGCTCGACTCGTTTGTAGCCCTACTAATAACAAACAACTTGCTAATAAAGCAAAGCTATAACACTTAGTGATGTGGGATATAAAGTGGCCCGGTTCGGATGTGTCTTAGCCTAGTTCAATGGTGTTAGGTAATTAAACTATTTCGAGGATTGACTAGGATTTCTAAGATATTATTACCTAAATAAACGGCATTAGAACTGGATTTACATATATCTATTCTTGATTCTAGTAGGATTTGAGTCCTACATGATTCAGGAAATTCATTTGTTTAATACGATCACTCTGATCTTCTACAAATTATATGATATTTTTCGTGATTCAGAGACTGACTGGAGCAACGAATTATCTACTTCGGGTGATCCTCTGCTATGTTTTGTTGGTTGATCCGGCTCATGATTCGAGATGAGACGATTCGATCGAAAATTATCAAATATGTGGATATTCCATACACATCACCTAGTGAGAAAGACTTTATTCAAACTACATCACACATTTGAAGCTCCTTTATTTGAGAATTTTTCTTGTCAAATACTTGCAAAAACATCCTTATAATCATCCACAACACAATTCTTTAACTTAAATATCAAACTATGTAAAGGGGCTTTTATGCATTATTTTCATCAATAATGCTAAGAAGCCAACAACCAATGAGACAGCTCCATGTGAAGTTGTCCCACATTGAAGCCATGTGGAATAGTCTCACATGAAATTGTCCCATTGGTTGTTGGCTCCGTTACGGAGCCAACAATTGACTGCTTAGCATTATTGTTATTTTCATAGCCTAAACAAAACTACTTGACTTAAAAATAATCACAATCCATTGATGAAAAATAGGCCAACGTGTGGTCGCTTGATGCCACACATAAAGAGCCACAAGATACCAAAAACATGACCTTCAAATCATTGCACCATCCGATGACATCTAAAATTCCACCTTGTCTTTTTTTTCTTTTTTTTTTCTCTAGATACCCGTGAGAATCCACCAATACCATGAACAGCTGTCCACGTCATCACTAAAAATCTAGAGGACAAATAGCCTCGTGCCACGTCAGAAGATAAGACACTTTATCAATAAAATTATTGCAAGTTGAAATGAATGGGAATGGTAACATAAATGGGATTAAAATGGAAAAGAAATTGTGCTTGATTGTTAGGATTTGGGATATTTTCACTAATTCCGTAAGTGCCCTTTTGTAGTTAGTGTGGGCCGCGTGTGGCTTTAATATGATGGTATATTTTTATTTAATTATTTATATAAAAATGATAATTATTTCAAGACATTAATTTATATTATTATTTTTAATGATGAAATTGAAAAAAAAAAAAATTGAAAGGTAACACCGAAAAAAAGACAAGAAAAAGGATTATTAGGATTTAGGATTTTTTTTTGGGCTATTGGGCTATTTCACTATTTTTTTTTTTATAATCATTATTTTCCTTCTAGGAAAGGAAAATAATAATAATAATAATAATAATAATAATAATAATAATAATAATAATAATAATAATAATTTCTCACTCTACACATAGTATTAATAATAATAATAATAATAATAATAATAATAATAATAATAATAATAATAATAATAATAATTTCTCACTCTACACATAGTATTAGGATTTAGGACTCACTAGTTCTAATGTATGTGCATTGTAAAATAGTCAAAGCCCTTTTGGTCCTCCAATGGCTAATCAATGAAATCCCACGGACTCCAACAAGAAACGAGATTTGAATAAGGAATATTAGGGATGAGCATCAGTTGCGGTTCGGTTCACCGAAAAAAACCGAAAAGCGAATCTTTAAAATTTCTTCATCGAAGCGCACTGCAATAGAAGGAAAAACCGTACCGAACCGAAAATTTTGGATCGGTTCGGTGCAGTTTTTCGGTTAACCGAAATTAAAAAGATAATCATCAATTAATGTAATGTAAGTAAAAGTAATAAAATTAAGGTGTTATTTTATTAAAAAATAAACAAAAAAAGTGACATTTTACGACATTCGGTGTGGTTCGGTTAAAACCACACCATTCGGTCAGAAAACCGAACTTCACCGAAATATTTGTGGTTTTCCAAAACCCAAACCGCAATGATAACCGAACTCTTCAAAAACCGCACCGAATAGCTCGGTTCGGTCCCGTTTTTCGGTTTCGGCCCGGTTTTGCTCATTCCTACCTCTTATATTAAAAATAAATCCATAGGACCCAAGAGCGCTTGGATGAGATGACTTGAGTCTCTTCCAGCTTAACCAGTAGTCTCGTGTTCGAGCCCTGAGAATGCAGCAGTGTTAAAAGTCTTGAGAGAGAACTTTGTCGCCCTTGTGGTCCTACCCGGCTCGATTCCGGATTAGTCGGTTTCCATGTGGATCCGGAAACCGGAAGGTCCCTGTACCAAAAAAAAAAAAATCCATAGGTCAAAGCTCATTAATAAAAAAAAAAGGACAAAATTAGGGAGTTTGCATGGTGGGGGCCTTTTGGTAAATATCAAATCATTTTTACTGCTAGAAAGTGCAAAATACAGGTAGAATGTGGTCCTTTCACCATTTACCCCAACAAAATTTGCAGAAAAGAAAACTTGTCATCTTCCTCTCTTCTCATCTCCATTCACACTTTGAGATAAAGAAAAAAAAATAAAAAATTACAGAGTGTGTCTCTACAGAAAATTCTGACCCTTCTTTTTTTTTTTTTTTT